GGTGCTAGAGAAGATTCTTGTGAGTCCTTTGGACTGCAAGGAGATCAAACCAGTAAATCCCAAAGGAAATCAATGCTTTGGAAGGACTGATGCTGAAGCTGAAGCTCCAATACTTTTGGCACCTGATGGGAAGAGTCAATTCATTGGAAAAGATCTGATGCTGGGCAAGATGAAGGCAGGAGGAGAAACAGGCAGCAGGAGATAAGATGGTTAGATAGCACCATGGACTCAATGGACATGAATCTGTGCAAACTCCAGGAGATAGTGAAGGACAGGGGAGCCTGGCGTGCTACAGTACGCGGGGACACAAAAGAGTCAGACATGACTTACTGACTAAATAACAACAACAAGACAAATAAATTTTTTAAAAAAGGAATCAGGATCCCCTGGAGAAAGGGTTTACTGAAGTATTGGAAAAGGAACATTCAAAAGATGAGCCTGGAACACTTTAGTATGCCAAAAAATATAGAGTATACAAAGAATCTTAGGAAAACACTCCAGGTAACTGAAAGAAAACATGCCTACCTAGGCTTCTATCACCCAATATTTTTCCAAAAGCAATACAATGAAAACATTAAAAAAAAAAAAAAACTCACAAAACCATGCCCTCAGGATTAAAGACAGAAGGTACACACCTCAAAATAAATTTAAGAAAAAGTACCAAAGCAGAGTGTGACTTCTCACTGACATGTTCCAGATTAAAGGAACTGAAGAAGCCTAACAACTAAATGCAATGAGTGAGTCTCAATTAGACCCTGAATCAGGATAAAAAAAATTTTCTGCCAAAAAGGGACCTTATTGGAAAAGTTGACAAAAGCTAGATATGCAATATATTTTTAATAACAGCATGGTAATAGTGCTATACTTCTCAAATCCCAAATCATTACATTGTGAATATGTTGTTAGAAAAAAATATGTTTTAAGTATTTACAAATAAAGAGACACAATGTCTTCAACCAACCTGCCAATCATTCAGAAAAATGTACATATATATATACATATAAAACATAAATTATAGATAAGAGAGAAAGGGAGCTACAGAGTAAATATGGCAAAATGCTAACAATTAATAAACAGAGTACAGTTCATAGGGGAAGCTTTGTTCTATTCTTGAAACGTTGTTGCACATTTTAATGTTTTCAAGTAAAGACATAAAAATGACTAGCTATAAGATTTCTGCTTCCGTCAAGATAGGGGAACAAGCGAGGGGAACAAGAGGAACTTACCTCTTGCACACAACTACTAAAAGTTGGACAAAAGTAGAAGACATAGTATTCAAGTCACTGGGCCTCAAGTGAGCCAGGGCAGTGAACTCTGAGAGACTATACATAGATGAACTGAACCTCAGGATTATCCCAGTTTACTGAATGCTGACGATGTCCAGGATATGGCTCGGGGAAGAAGAACCAAGTAGAACTCAGTCATCTCTGCAAGGCAGACTGTTCCGAGCACAGACACCAATGCAGTCAGCGAACTGGAGAAGAAACAAGGACAGAGGCCTAGAGAAAAGACAGCGGCACAAAGAGAAGACTCAGGAGACCTGCAGAGGCTCACCTGTGATGTTTTCTCACTAACTACTGATCAGGTCAGGGCATGAGGAAACCACTCCATGCCAAGGAAACAATCCGCCCACAAGGATCGTGACGGGAAACTCTGTGCGGGGCTCACGAGGAATGGAACCAGGTTCCAACAGCCAGGATTTAAAACCTCATAGTACAGGGAGCATCCTCTGCAAATTAAGAATGGTCTTGCCTTAATAGAGGAGATAAATCCACCCAAGACTCCACACACTGCTGGTCCACCACACAAATGTAAAAAACAAGAGCCAAAAAGATCAAGCTGAGTCCAGGTAACTTACGTATATCCCAAAGCTCAAGAATATTTAAATAAAGGTAAAACTATTCAGTACCTAATAAGGTAAAATTCATAATGCCTGGTATCAAGGGTATACAGATGCAGGAAAATACAACCCAAAATTGTACCAGGAGGTTGAAGCTGTACTTGATCTTCTGGAAGCAGTCGATGTAATGTTCCTCTGTTATCTCTATAGCAAGAAGGGGGCAGATGGTGAGTCACGTATCATGCCAAGACTTCCCCCCCTCCCCCAAACCCCAACTCCTCTCCCCTGGCCCTTCGCACTCACCTCCCTTATTCTTTTTATTTTTCTTCCTGAGATTCTTCTTCTTACGACCGGTCTTTGACTGGGCCTTGTCCAGCTTCCCCACAAACATCTCGATGTCCCTTAGGACGTGGTCCAGCACCTCCTGGACCCCAAACACCCCCTGGCTGAGTGGGCAGTTAGACCCGCCCTGGAGCTCCCAACCCCGCCCCCCTCCACCACAAGCCTGAGCCTCAGGCCCAGCCCAGGGCCTGACCAAGCCTCTGTGTCCCCTCTCAGGCCAGGCCCTGCCTTGGTCGACCTGGGACCTGGCTCCTTGAGGTGAGGGAGACAACTGGTGTCCTCCCTTTGGCTAGACCGCAAAAGCCTCAACAAGCCCAAGACAGTCTGCAGTTACCTTATCCCATTTTGGGTCCTCAGGGGATGGGGACCTCCTTGAAGGAGACAGCAAGAAGGTGCTTGGCTCTCGGATGCTGGTGCGGAATGGCAGGGGCCTTGGAGATGGCGGTGGGGTGTCTGCAGAGGAAGAGGACCATGGCCCAGAACTTCTTTGATGGGGACCTTTCCTCCCACTGGCCCCCACGCCCAAACTTACCGTGCTCTGGGCCCATCAAGTAGTGCTGTTCGGGATGGGGTCCCCACTCCAGAGGAGGCGCCGGCTCCTTAGGGAGTGGCCTTTCCAGAGGAGGCCCCCTCCACCGGTCCTGGTCCGAGCGAAGGGCTCCCAGCCGGGGCCTGTGAAGGGCATGACAGGGCCACAGCTTTGACTGGGTTCTTGGGGCAGAGGCTCTGCCCACACTTCTGCCCCAGGACCCAGGGATACCACTGCCCCTCTCCAGGAGCCCCACCAGCCCTGCCCCCTGGTCTCCATCCAAACCCTTCCCTGACTCTCCCCTGCATCATCGGCCTGCCCTCCGGGACCAGTTGGTCCCACGTCAGTCTCTGAGGATAGTCTCCAGTGGCCCCTAGGCCCAGCACCAGTCCCTTCCCCAGGCCCTTTTGCGTCCTGCTTCCAGCCTCGCCACTCCCCAGATCAATGTCTGTGTTATTGGGCCACAGGCTCCTGAGCTCCCCCAGGTGTGCGGCAGAGTCTAGCCCACCCAGACCTGAGCTCCAGGGTTCTGCAGGTGCGCTGGGGCAGAGGCTGCCTACCTTTGCTCTAGCTCCTCCTCCAGAGCCTTCTCCAGGCTGGTCTTCAGTCGCTCTGCCTGGAGGAACCAGCAGTCAGAGAGGCTTGGGCGATGGGGGAGGGGAGGGTTAAGGTAGAGGGTGGTGATGGTTGTTAGATCTCACCCCCACTTCCTGGCACTGGAAAAGCAGAGTGCTAGTGCCTCGCAGGCCCGAATCCTGCACGGTGATGGACAGGACAGAGTTGTAGGAGCCGGTGTTGAGCGACACGTCCATGACCTTGATGCTGTCCAGGCGGTAGGACTCTAGCTCCTCCTGGGCCGAGCAGAGACATTGGCTGTGAGGTCGCTGAGAGCCCGACAGGACCCTAGCAGCTCCTGACCTGGGTTGCTCCACCCTTCCAATGGCCTGGGATGGGGTGTCCTTTCCCCTGACCCCTGTGCCTCTATCTCCTGTTTCTTCCTAGTCCTGGGCATGTATTGTGGGGGGGGAGGGGTGGCTGCCTGTGGGGCATGGTGGGATGGTGTTCATGCCCCGGGGCTTACTTTCCCACAGCCCAGGTTAGCTATGACCCCTGGCAGGGAATGGTGGGAGGCTGACCTTGGTCTCGATGTCCAGCAGTTGGAGCCAGCCATCCCTGACCTGCAGGAGCAAGTCCTGGCTCCACACCCGGCCCTGAGCGTCCATCTCCTGCAGCTTCTGCAGAACATCCTTGGGCTCCTGGACTCTCTGTGTCCCCAGCTTACATGTCATCAGGTGCTGAGGGGACAGGAGGAGATGGGCTGGGAGAGGTTTGGAGAGGGGGCTCACAGGTGGGGATGGAAAGGGCTGGGGGTGGGGGAAGGGCAGCAGAGGGGGAAGACATGTCCCTGGCCTCCTCACTGGGGAGGCCCCAGGCAATCCCCATAAAGCAGTCTTCAAGAGACAATATGAGGGCTGGAGGCAGTCAGGCTAGGATGGGGCTCCCAAGGTGGGGACTGATGGGCTGTAGGAGGGGGTTTAGAACTCTGGAGGAAGGACAGTCATGGCCTGTAACAGTCTGCTGCTGCTAAGTCGCTTCAGTCGTGATTGACTCTGTGCAACCCCATAGACGGCAGCCCACCAGGCTCCCCCATCCTTGGGATTCTCCAGGCAAGAACACTGGAGTGGGTTGCCATTTCCTTCTCCACCTGTAATATTCTAGATGGTGGTAAATATAGGGAGGGGGTGTGGGCTTCAGCTATCCAACAAATAAGTCTCAACTTCTCCAGATTAGGATACAGAATGCTCAAATTCTGTCCCCTACTTTTCTTTGCTCTCTTTGAGAATCACCCACCCAGCCTGGTCCATCTCTTCCCTGACCTAGCCTTCCTGTCTCCATGCCTTTGCTCATGTTGCTCCCCACACCCAGAATGCATGTCCCACTTCTGATAATCCATTACCTCCCAGTCTGTCAGGAATAAGTCAAGCCCACCACCCTCCTCCCTGACTGTTTCTCAGAGAGGTCCATACTGACCTCAGTCTCCACTTAGGCCCTTGTCCCCTGCTAGTCTGATCACAAAGGCAGGCTTTTGCTGTTATTCTCCCTCCTCAAGGATAGCCTTTGCTTCTACCATCTCATTCAAAAGTCACAGTCCTGCCCCTTGTGCTCCCCTCCAGGTCCTCGCTGGGAGGATGCCATCTGCCTCCTGCCTCTTGACCCCACTGCCCTGCCCTGTCCTCTGCATAGCTCCCAGCTCTTCTTCAAGTTCACTCGGCCAGCATACTCAGGAGCCCTGATATCATGAGCAAATGCCCTGGCACCCTGGACACGCCTCCCCGGCTCTTGCCTCCTAGACCTAAACAAAGCCAGTTCCCAATCCTCATTTACTCCATGAAGCCCAGGGATCTTAGTCCCAACTCAGCTGACTGGGGAAGCCTGACTTCTTCCAGATGGTTGCTCCAGCATCCCTCCCTGCCTTTTTTTGGGGTGAGTGCTAAGTCCTCTGCTGCCCGGGGGTGGTTTCTACCTGATGCAGTGTCTGCTCTTCCCTGCCACGCCCTTCCAGCCTGAGCTGTCACATGGTGTCAACAGCTGTCCTGGCAGCTAGATCTGGCAGTGCCAGTGTCGTTCTCCCAGGCAGCGCCTGAGCCTCCATTTCCAGGCTCCAAGCCCCGCACAGGGAGCTCAAGCCCAGATGGCTCCCCTCTCAGATAGTGGCCCTTTCAAGTCCCTGCACAAGGACCGCTGGCTGACCTCACACATTCTGTCCTCCAGCTGTACCAGATCCTGGGCAAAGAGCAGTTTCTTGGGGCTCTCAGGGGGTAAGCCGAGAGACAGGAAGGGGCGGGATCAAGTGGTGGCAGGTGACTCCCAGCCCATCCCTCTGCTACTTGAGGATGGGATGCCCACTGGCTTAGCTCCCCCTGCCCATGCCCAGCTGCCCCGTCCTCCCCTGTGCTTAGCAAATGCTCAGGTAGGCTTGCTGGACCTGAGCCCACCTGCTCTGGCCGGGTCAGGCCATTGGCGTCTGTGGCAGACTTATATCAGATATCTGCTTTTTGTCAGGGTGGGGGGCACATGGAAGAACTTGGCTTGAATCAGGAAATTGTATGGGGCCCTAGGGTTACTCACCTCCACCCTGTGCTGCAGGTGGGTGGGCTCCAAGGCGATATTCTGCAGGTACTCCTTCCGATGCACTACCGTGGCAGGAAGCAAGGGGGTGAGGGCAGAAGAAGGAATTAAAACAGGCACAACTATAGGGGGTGGTCAGTGTGGGGAGGGAGAGACTGGAGGCAGGGGGTTCAGGGAACCCAGAGGGAGAGAAGGGGACCACTTACAGTAAATGGCTCTGCTGCTTGGCCGGGACATGCTGACGCTGCTGAGATGATTCCCTAAAACCCAAACTGAGCAGAAGAGACAGCGATCAGGGCTGGGGAGAGGGATGAGCAGGCAGAGCTGGGTGGGAGAGCTGCTGTCGCAGCCCATCCCTGACCTGGGTCTGGGCCTCAGACCACAGGTCTTTCTGGATCTGTCTCCAGTCGTTCCCTCTGAAGGAGCCCTCCATCCTGGCTGGGCCTCGGAGGCCCCCAGGCAGGCTCTCAACTTCCCATTATTTGGCCAGTAACGCTCATCCTGATGGCCCCAGGGAAGCTGTGTGGACAGGCACCTGGGACCAGATCCCATCCTGGGCCCGAGTGTGAAAGGTGCTGGATGGGTGTGCCTGGCTTCTGGACGGGAGGCATGAGGATCAGCAGCCTTCCCTGTCACAGCAAGCCTCTTGTCCAAGCCTGTTTCAACTCTGCAAGTTGGGAGGAGGCCTGTGTTGGCTCTTATGCTGGGGAGCCACTCAGGAGGGGTGAACGTGTGTGTGTATGCACACACATATGTTTGCACGTTTATGATGGAGCTCTGTAGGATGTTAGTGACTTGCACTTCCCTAAATGTCTTACTAAATCTGCTCTCTTTGCCTTTCCATACTCTGAACCTCTGCCCAGAGCCCCTCCCAACCCAACCCTATAAATTCCAGCTCAAGGGAATAGATGTTTTTTCCAAAGAAGACATACAGATGCCCACAGGCACATAAAAAGATGTTTAACATCACTAATTCTTAGAGAAATGCAAGTCAAAAATCACAAGAAGCTATCATCTCACACCTGTCAGAATGGCTATTATCAAAAAGACAAGTACTGGAAATTTTTAAGAGAAAAAGGAACCCTTATACACTGTGAATGAGAATGTAATTTAGTGCAGCCACTGTGTAAAATAGTATGGAGACTCCTCAAGAAACTAAGAATGGAATAATCATATGATCTAGCAATCTCACTTCTGGTTATTTATCTAAAGAACATGAAAACATTCACTGAAAAAGATATCCACACCCCTATAGTCATCATGGGGGCTTCCCAGGGTGCGCATTGGTAAAGAATCTACTGGCCAGTGCAGGAGTCCCAAGGGATGAGGGTGGATCTCTGGGTGGGGAAGATCCCCTGGAGAAGGAAATGGCAACCCAGTCCAGCATTCTTGCCTGGAGAATCCCATGGACAGAGGAGCCTGGGGGGCTACAATCTGTGCGGTCCCAAAGAGCTGGTTGTGACCGGGCACACTCGCAGTTATGTTCATCCTGGCCTTTACAAAAGCCAAAATATGGAAACAACTTACATGCCCATCCACACGCGAATGGATAAGGAAGATGTAGTGCATACAAAGGAATATTAGTCAGCCATAAAAAGGTGAAATCTTGTCATTTGCAATAACATGTATGGACCTTGAGGGTGTTATGCTAAATGAAATAAGACGGAAGAAGACTGACAAATATCGTATGATTCCACACTTAAGTAGAATATTAGAAACAAACAAAACAAAATAAATGAATAGACCAAACCAAATGAAAATAGAGATAACAGATACAGAGAACAGAGTAGATGTTACCACAGGAGAAGGGGCAGGAGGGAAGGTGAAATGGGTTAAAGGGATCAACTATGTGATGACGGACAAAGTAAATTTTGATGGTGAGCATGTTATAGTGTGTACAGAATTAGAAATATGATGTTGTACACGTGAAACTTATATAGTGTTATAAACCAAGATTAATGCAATAAAAAAATAAGTTAAAATAAATATATTACAGTTTAAGGATCACCTCCTCATTGAAGCCCTCCTTGACCACCCCAGTCAACCCTGCCCATCTTCCTAATGCCACACCTAGTCCTATAAGTTCCTCTCTAACAACAGCACCACCCTGGTTAGTGCTGTGAGCCTAGTGTCAAGTGCCTTATGAACTTTATGTCATTTAATTTTCACTACCATCATTTATGCTTCCCTGGTGCTTAGGTAAAGAATCTGCCTGCAATGTGGGAGACCTGGGTTTGATCCCTGGGTTGGGAAGATCTTCTGGAGGAGGGCATGGCAACCCACTCTAGTATTCTTGCCTGGAGAATCCCCATGGACAGAGGAGCCTGACTGGCTACAGTCCATGGGGTTGCAAAGAGTCAGACGTGACTGAGCAACTAAGTAGAGCACCGCATAGCACCATCACTTATACTTCCTTGATCCTATGTGCTGAGTGCTGTTCTACAGATGTTACACCCAACAACGCATTTAATCCTCAAAACAACCTTGCTGGGTGGGTACTGTTATTACCCCTTTGACCAGATGAGGATGATATGGCGGTTCAAAGAGGATAACAGGTCAAGAAGACTGACAAATATCGTATGATTCCACACTTAAGTAGAATATTAGAAACAAACAAAACAAAATAAATGAATAGACCAAACCAAATGAAAATAGAGATAACAGATACAGAGAACAGAGTAGATGTTACCACAGGAGAAGGGGCAGGAGGGAAGGTGAAATGGGTTAAAGGGATCAACTATGTGATGACGGACAAAGTAAATTTTGATGGTGAGCATGTTATAGTGTGTACAGAATTAGAAATATGATGTTGTACACGTGAAACTTATATAGTGTTATAAACCAAGATTAATGCAATAAAAAAATAAGTTAAAATAAATATATTACAGTTTAAGGATCACCTCCTCATTGAAGCCCTCCTTGACCACCCCAGTCAACCCTGCCCATCTTCCTAATGCCACACCTAGTCCTATAAGTTCCTCTCTAACAACAGCACCACCCTGGTTAGTGCTGTGAGCCTAGTGTCAAGTGCCTTATGAACTTTATGTCATTTAATTTTCACTACCATCATTTATGCTTCCCTGGTGCTTAGGTAAAGAATCTGCCTGCAATGTGGGAGACCTGGGTTTGATCCCTGGGTTGGGAAGATCTTCTGGAGGAGGGCATGGCAACCCACTCTAGTATTCTTGCCTGGAGAATCCCCATGGACAGAGGAGCCTGACTGGCTACAGTCCATGGGGTTGCAAAGAGTCAGACGTGACTGAGCAACTAAGTAGAGCACCGCATAGCACCATCACTTATACTTCCTTGATCCTATGTGCTGAGTGCTGTTCTACAGATGTTACACCCAACAACGCATTTAATCCTCAAAACAACCTTGCTGGGTGGGTACTGTTATTACCCCTTTGACCAGATGAGGATGACATGGCGGTTCAAAGAGGATAACAGGTCTGAGATCACAAGTAAATATTTTATAGAGAATGAACTCAGCTAGGCCTGACTGCAAGCTCCATGCTTTAACTGTTTATGTATGTGCCTCTGTCACTGGGCTGTGCCCTCCTGAGAGTGGACTTATGTTGCCTCTGCTGTTCCCCCAGTGCCTTCCTAGCATGGAGGGAGTCTAGAATACACATATACATTGAAATGGAAGGGAGGTAATTGAGATGTGTGGGGGTGTGGTGGGAGTTAGCTGAGTGTGTGGGTCAAGGGTATGTGTTAGTTTAATGATGTGTGTATGCATCATGGATAGGTGTCAGTTCTGCGGGTGTCCTTCCATTTCCGTGATGCATCTGAGTTGTACAGAAACCCTGGAATATCCTGGGCAAAGTTTCAGAGAGCAGCCCACGCCCCTGTTACTAGGACTGCTATGAAAATAGCAGAAGATCTGATAAGATGACTCAGTGTTGGGGAAGTGAGTTTCTAGTAAACAAGGGATTGTGTATTGGTCTGTGTTTTCCACGTTTGGGAGGATCCCTTTCCTTACCAAGGGTAAAGGGTTCTAAAAGCCTGCTCCCCCTCTCCCCAGCTGCACCCCACAGGCTGCAACACTTCCTGCTTCTAAATCCAGAAGATAAAGAAGAAAAAATGAACTTCGTTTCTGTTAGCACCCCTCCTTACCTGCCAGCCCCTTCACAGAGGATGGTCCCTGTGGGTTTTATTGCAGCAAAACAGAAATGAGTGAACAGCCTGTGGCACATACCAGCCAAACAGCCCTACAAGAGGTAAACAATCTTGGTTATTCTTTAGCTGTTACTAGTAACAAACACTTGTAGCCAGATTTGTCCTTCACAAAGCTGATTACTCTCTGACTCCATACAGATTATATTCAGAACCTGGCATTCTTCTCCCCCTCCACTCTCTTGTAGCATTCTGCATTTCAGAGAGAAGGTCACGGGCTGATAACTTCAGGAACACAAGACCCAGTTGCTGAGTTGCCTGATGGCAACTTTGGCCATTTTGAAATGTTGCAAAAGAAAAAGAAAACGCAAGACCTTCAAGAGGATATAAAACCTCTCCCTATTCCCAAGAAACGGGGGCACAGTTCTTGAGACGCTAGCCTGCTGTGTTTCCCTTTTGCCTGGCAAAAATAAGAAAGCTATTCTTTTCTACTTCCTCCAAACTCTGTCTCCTTATTTCAATTTGACATCAGTAGACAGGGAACCAGGATTTTGGCAACAATCTCTCTTGGCAGGTCCAAGCAACATCTGCTGCTCCACATCGCAACAAGGAGGTGGAGTAGGGATGGGGGATGAAAGGTAGGGGGTGGAGGAATGGGGTCTGACTTTGGTTTGTCTTGCCTCTGGGAGGGGGGTGGATCTGTGGCAGCCCAGTTTCCCCATTTACCCCCCAAGTTTAGGGAATGGAGCAGGGAAGAAGTTCATGTCTGCATCGTGGGCCCTGGAGAAAGGCAGCCCAGGGACGCTGCTGAAGCCCTGCCTACCCCCCTCTCTGCTCCCTGGCCTGCTAGCCTTCAGCCGAGTCCCAAGCCCTCCTTAGGGCCGCCACATCGAGAATGGGCTGGAGACCCTGACCTGGGAAGCCACTGAGCTGTCCCCACTATGTCGGGACCTCCTGTGGCTTGGCTGGGCCCTGACCTTCCCGAGGGCCAGGCCCTTACCTGGGCTCCAGTGAGGCCTGGAGGCTGGTGCCCCCGAAGGGGCAGGTGTATGAGCTGGTGGCCCGGTGCTGACGGTGGGAAGACGGTGGCTTCTCTGCCAGTGGCGCAGTCCCGGGCAGGGGCCCTGTGGTCAGGTGAGCCCTGAAGCAGGCCGGTCTTATGGTGCGGAGGCCAGGAGGCAGCCACACCTGTGCTCTTTGGACTCTTGGCAGGTGGGGCAGCCTCCAAGGCTACCAACTGCTCAGTGCCAGAGCCCAGGCCTGTGGCTGCGCCTGTGCCGACAGGTGTCCCTAGCTTAAACAGAGCCCCTTGCTTCCGGGCTTCCTGCTTGACTTGCCTCTGCCGTTAGCGTGCAGCCCCCTCTTCCCCCTGCCTGTGGGTGCCTCCCCTGAGGCCCCAGGTCAGCCTCAGGCACTGGGGCAGGGAGCAGGAGCGAGCATCCCAGGCACAGGTGGCAGAGGTGGACCCTGGCTTGGGGGCAGTGTGGGCTGACATGTGTGCCTGGGTGTGCTGCCCATGGGGGTGTGTGGTCATGGGTACCCAGGTGGTGCCTGTGAGAAGGATGTGGGGCTCATAAGAGTCGATGGGGGCTGGGAGCTGGGACCCTATGGGCATTAGGTGGACTGAGATTTCTTCCCAGCAGGGCCCACCTCATCCTGCCTCTTCTTTCCCCTCTGGCCCAGCAGGGAGCCCTTCCCTCATCATTCTTGCTCTTCTACGCTTTCCTCCCCACCCGACCCCATGCCCTCAGACTTCTGGTTGAGCCTGGGCAGCTTCAACAGAGATGGGAAACTGAGACGCCCCTCCGTCCCTGATTGTGATCCAGTCCTCATGCTGCATGATATTTAAAAGCCTTCCTTGGCATCCAGGCTGCCTGCCCTCTGGGGGCTCACAGTCTAACAAGGGAGGTAGGACAGAAACAGGGAGTGAGGCAGGAGGGGAGAGTCAGTCAGTCAGTTCAGTCACTCAGCCATATCTGACTCTTTGTGACTGCATGGACTGCAGCATGCCAGGCTTCCCTGTCCATCACCAACTCCCGGAGCTTACTCAAACTCATGTCCGTCTATTCGGTGATGCCACCCAACCATCTCATCCTCTATCATCCCCTTCTCCTCC